TAGATTTAAATTAGTAAAAAAATTATTTTTATATTATTATTTATTTTTGTTAATTAATTTTATCAAATAGATGGTTTAGGTCTAATTATTTGTTTATTCAATTAGGTTGTACAACGTTAGAATTAGGATTTCATTTCCTTTTAATTTCTATTTTCCTTACCAAATAAAAACATCAAAGCAATTACTTTCTTTTCACAATTAAAAATTATTAGATTTAAGTTTTGTTTTAAATTAATTTAGACGTTTGGTTTTGTTTAATTTTTTTCAATTAAATTAGATTTAGGGTTTAATCAACATAGATTTTAGGTTTTGTTAAATACTTAGTTAATTTCTCTTGCCATTAAAATTGATTAGATTAATTAAAACGTTTTTCGTAAAAACATAAAAAATAATTTTCTTTTCTTTTACATTATATTTATATTCTTGTACATATTATTTGGCATTATTCAATATGGTTGTGATAGTAATTAGGTTTTAATTGCTTTCATCCCCATTTTTAATTTGTATCCCCATCCCCTAAAATTATGTAATAACGTAGAACTTTTAATTTCTGCAATTTATCGCTTTCAATATTATTGCTAGTAATTAGGGTTTGTATGGAAAGACTTAAAATCAACAAGTAGATAACCCTAATTCAAGATGAAAATGCATGAAAACAATACACATTGAACACTTGCACCTCAAGGGTTAACCCACACTTGTTACCATCGAATTAAAATAGTCATGTCCCTCGAACGTGGGATACTTTAGCAAAGACCCTTGATTACAAGATCGTAGTCCCTCGATGACCCTTCGATGTTGCCTTCGGTAAACGATCTTAGACCCTTATGACAAATTGCTAAGACATCCTACAATGTTGCCTTCTATGACTGTACGACGACCCACGCCTGTCCCTTCACATCCAATGATAGGACATCTTACCAATCAATCGTAAGATAGAAATATCTAAAGGAGGAGGAAAAGAACAAAGACTTTTTGAGTAGGTAGAACGCTCGTAGTTTCTTGCTCACAAATAAAACCATTTTTACACCTCACACTTTCAAAACATTCTTCAAAACAAACATCTCTTTGAACTATTTTCAAAACCAACACTTTGTATACATTCTTATAGAGATGAGAATCATTACAAAATTTTCCGAAACAAAGGCATTTTCAAAATATTTTCAAACTTACACAAAACAAAAAAACATTTACAAAGCATTTCAAAGCGAGCTAGCAACTAAGAGCCCGTAGATAACTACAGATGAAAAGGGTGCTAATACCTTCCTTTTTCATAAACTACCCCCCGAACTCAAGAAAATTCTCAAAAGGTCTTTCCTGTTCTTTTCACCCTTTCCTTTAATGGATAAAATAAAAGTAGGTGGAGACTCTTGCTATCCGTAACTATTGCAATAAAACACAAAACAATCAAGTCAGTTCTCCCATCGCATTACAAAACTGGCGACTCTGCTGGGGAAAAACTTAAAAGTGGGGTTACCTTAGAGATTAGTTCACCTTTAGTGCTTTACTTGCTTGATTTATATGCTTTACATTTTGGGTTATGTTTGGGTTTTGTATAGATCCTCTATCCGGATCTGGGGTCATATTAGGTAAGTAGCAATAGATCGTGGGGACTGTGCGGTATAATACCGACATGGTTGAAGCGATGACTACGTTAGTGTGACACATTTGTTGGTACAAGTGTCCCTTGAGTTTAATCAAGGAGAATATGGGGCCGCTGTGGGGTGTCATAAAGCACCAAATGGCCATAGAACATTTAGTTGAACAACTTGGCCATTAGGAATTAGTGAGATAGCCGGTGAAACAACCGGCTGAAAATCATCAAAAAATGAAGTCGCCATCGAACTTCTTTTATCCCACATGTAGGGAAAGGTAAACATAGAGGAACCCTAAGAAGGGAGAAGTCACGGTCTTGCGACCGAGAGATCGAGTAAGGGAGTCTGTTACGCGAGGGGAAGGTATTAACACCCCACACGCCTATAGTACTCTACAGTATCCACTCTTGTTATCTATCTTATGGGTGTTTTTAATCTATGCTTACTGTCTATACTACTGAAGGGAGAATGCATGCAAAAGAAATGAGAAAAGAATGTAGGGAAAATAAAATTGTGCTCGCTTGGGCCCTACCCCAATGCCTACGTATCTGTTTTGAGGAATCAGAGCTACCATAGTTCGACTCTTATGTTTTTGTTTGTTTGTGTTTTTTATGGACGAAGTTAATTCCGCCTTCTGTCGCAGCTCGACCTTTGGAGACTTATGCGTTGGAACAGAAGTAAACTAATCATGTTCTTACCTGAAAAGGGTTTTAGAGAAAGGTGCTTGAGCGCACAAATTTGTTTGAATTGGTTTGTGTTTTATTACCTTGAAAAAGGGTTTAAGTATGCTTAGCATGTTTTTGATTAGCTAAGAAAAGAAGTTTTTGTTTTAGATGCAAGGATGCGAAAAGGGAAGAAAAGAGTCTAAGGGAGACTATCCTATTTCCAAACCTAATGTTATCATACAATGGTAGCTCTATGTCAAGGATGAAAGGGGAAGTTTCTACCTAATGTTAGCAGGCACGGTTTACAACCTAAGTTCTAACTTGCATCCGAATGGAGCAAGCGCATCCTAAGGGAACATGGTATGTACAGGGATAAAGCAAGCAAGCCAGCAAACAGAGAACACCTAAAGAGATCCTGCGTAGGTTAGCATGTCGAAGAAATTCTAACAAAGCTATCCTATAGGGAACATGTAATGAGAGCGAAGTCGTGATCTCAATTTCTAAATTGAGTGACTCATCGATCGGAAAGAAATAAAAGAAAGCAATAAAATCCTATAGGGAGCATGCACTGAGAGCAAAGTCGTGATCTCAATTTCTAAATTGAGTGACTCATCAATCAATCAACAAAGAAACAAACACAAGCACAACACATATAGGAAATGAAGTACAGAATGCCTGCTACAGGTCTTTAAACAACGACTTCGAGCGCACACTCTTTATTTCCTACTTCTCATGGTATCTAGAAAGCGGTGAAGTGCGGAAATGAAGAATAAAATAGAGTTGTGATGATACCGAACGGAGAAGGTCCGTTGCCTCTTCATAACCACGCAAGTGATAAGAAAACTCTATAGAAGTTGCTCCGCATGAGTGATCAACAATTAATCTCCAAGCATTTCCCATTGTGAAAGTTACATCAATATCCAAACAAAATCTTAACTAAAAAAATGACAACGAAAATGATTATCGAACATGAAAAGAAATATTAGAAAATTCTAATAAAATTCTAAAGAGAAAGCCTAGGAATTCTAAAATATTTCCTAAAATATTCTAACTATTTTTTAAGTTATTTTTTCATCAAAATCTAACTAAGAGAACTTAGAAAATAATGCGAAAAACACTTAAACTGGGGGTGAGTTGTTGAAACCGAGGAGTGTAGTCCAGAGAATTAGCATAGAGGTCCAAACTGAAGTTCATCAAGAGGTTTTTGTCCAAGGCTTCATTGGTATGCAATAGGAGCAACAGGCCAAGGGTAGATTGAAGAGGCCCATACGTGAGATTCATCCAATTTTCTTATTCAGCTTACTCCAATTTATCATTATCATAATTTAGATTACAATCAAAATCAAATTGAAAGAGAATAAAATGAAAGAAGGCTTTGAGGAAAGTGTTGTTAGGGTTGAAAATGCAAACTGAAGGTTGGAGTTCTTCGTGAAACCGATGAAAGAACTTCCTCTCTCAACCTAAACGGCGCGACGATTCCTTCTCTTCCATCCTCTCTGTTCAAAACACTACCAATCTCCACCGTCCACCGTTGCAATATTCAGACTCCGCCTCATCTTGCTCATGCATTCTCATACTTTCCGATCTGATTTCATTAACCAACTTCGGCCCCTTCTCAGCTCACACTGTCTTGTTTCGCCATCTCAAACGCTCACAGCGCCACCAAGACTTTCACAGATTCACCCAAAGAAAGTAGAAATATTAGATGGATGAGCATAGTTACTGATCAGAGATGCTCCAACGGCAACAACAACAACGATAATAGAGAGAAATTCATGTCAGTATTTGCGATCTCTTGCTCGTTCTTCTTCTACTCCTTCATCATTTTGGATTTCTGCATTTTTGTGTATGGTTACGCTTCATTGAGCGTTGTCGTTGTTATGGACTGAAACGTCGAATCATTCTTGTTGTAAAAAGAAGCTTTAGTAGAACAGATGAAGATGTGTGATGATGTTGTTGAAGAGGTTCAGAGAAGTGATGGAGCTGGAGGAAGATGTGGAATTGTTGTGTTGATGATTTGACGAGGATTCTGCAGAATGATGAAGATTCGGTTATGGAAGATAACTATGGTGAAGTTCTTGATTCATCAACAAAGATGATGATGAAGGTGGTTATGGAGGTTCAAAGAAGATAAAGGTGAAGATATAATCCAGAGAGATATGGAGATTCTGGTGATGGATGAGTGAAAATGAAGAGAGAAGTTTGAAGATTGCAGAGAGAGTCTTGTGGTGATTTTTTATGATTCTTCTCAGTAGATGAAGAATCAATTTGAAAGAGGTATCAATCTTTTTTTATCAATCTCTTAGATCTAGGAAAAGTTAGTTACAAGAGAATGAATATTGGCCTTTGGATAATGATTTTCTGTTAGAGGGTCTAAGAGTTAAGGTTGAGTAGTTAGAGAGGTTTAGAGATCTGTTATGAATTAGAAAGTCAGTTGTTTGTTTTAATTCTGTTTGAGTGAACTGGAATATTCTCATATTTTCTGTTAGAAAGTTTTTGGATGCTGAACTGTTTTTGTTCATGACTGCTTTTGCATGTTTTCTTTTTTGGAATCTCTTCTCTCTATTATGTTTCTGTTGGAAGTTGTTACAGTTAGGACTGGTTTTGATTTTGTTATGAGATTAGAAAAAGTTAGTTAGGGATTTGTTTTCTGTTTTTGGTTTTGGATAGTCCTGCTGGTTTTTCCCTTGAACAAGTGGTTTTTCTGGATTGGTTGTGCAGGTTGTGGGAGCATAGTGCCATGATTCTTTTGGTGAAGCGTCCGGGTCTGGCCACGAGTGTGGTGATCGCAGCTGAGGATCTTGGACTAATATTTGTGGCTGTGGTGGAATGTTTAGCGGTTGCTGTGGCGGAGAGTGTGACGATGAAGGTAAGTTGGTCGGCGATTGCCAAGGAGAGTTAGACTGTGGAGAGTAGTTGGGTGGTGACTGAGGTACTACTGGAAGTTCTTGCTCAGGTGAAACAGGCGGAGAAAGATTTAAATTGGGCAGTGTTGGTTTCAAGGCTGAATGCAGGGGTTGGTTTATGGAAAAGGGAGGTGCGAATAGTGCAGACAAGTTTTGGCATAATCATTGTTTGAGGCATGGCTCATGGTTATGAAGGAGAAGCATGGTTCATAGTTATGAATGAGTGGAGATTCAAAACATGTCATGATGATGAAGATGGACGGCGCATAGGTTTTGGATAGTGTTCTTTTGTGAAATTTTTGATGTAAAGGTCATGTAACATAGAAATATTTAGTTGTAATTTTCTTTATGGAATGAACACGGTTTGAATATCATTGATGAACCTTGTCTAAATTGGTTTGATGCTTGAGTGAAATCAAATAGACGATGATATGTTCGAACACAACATGATAACGCTTGGGTGAATTGAACTTGAATTTTTATGAATGATTTGGATCCCGAATGAGTTCGAAATTGATGATGAAAGGTATAGAATTCTTGGAATATGGACTTGAATAATGCTTTGCAATTTGAATTTTACACTTTACTCGTTGCTTGTATTTCAAGCAAACCACATGACTGAACCTTCCAAATTTAGCATGAACCAAATCCAAACTTATGTCCTTGAATAGGTTGAATTCATGGAATCACTTGAATGAATGAATTAACACATCCAAATTCCATGGATAAGAACCTTAATCCTTTTGAGATGTACCTTGGTGACTGAATAATACCGAGATATTGATAAGAAACCAAGCTTTAACTCAAAATATCATTATCTGAATCCCTGATGAACTTGGGGGGAAGATACCCTTATAGCCTGATAAGAAATAAGTCCACATCAACCACGAATCAAAATCCTATCTCCAACCATGAATATTGAAGAAGCAACTTGAATCTCTTGAATGAAGATAAGAGCGTCAAAGCCATACATGAACCCTAATTTTCAAGATCCTTGATCACGTGCTAAAAATTTATTGATTAACGATGCATGATACGTCAAATGACCTAATGTAGTGTATGCAGATGAAACGAAGAATGCAAGATGCGTAAGCTAGATAAAAGCAAATGGGTAGGACAAATTTGGGGTATTACACCTGCCCCTATTTAATCGTCTTAAACCAGAAAGTACGATTGGCGCGTGCCTTTCAAAAGTTCGAGGTAGAAGATGATTAAATACCAATGCCAAAAATTTGTCCTGGGAGAGAGTGTAAGTGTTTCTTTATTTATTTTGTGATATCTGCTGGGGGAAAGAATTTTTTTGTTTTTTCAATGAAGAGACGGATGGTTGGTATGAAAAGACAGCGGGCGAGGTCTACGGGCGACCTACGATCCTAAGGTGAAACATGAGAGTGATTTGACAGAGAACCTAGCCTAAGGGAGATCTCAGGTTCTAAGACAAGATATATGGAAAGAACCTAGCCAAGAGGCGATCTCAGGTTCGATGATGATTTGAGGTAAGAACCTAGCCAAGAGGCAATCTCAGGTTTGATGATGATCTAAGGAAGAACCTAGCCAAGAGGCGATCTCGGGTTAGACGATGATTTATGGGAAGAACCTAGCCTACGGGCGATCTCAGATTTGAAGATGATCTGAGGAAGAACCTAGCCTATGGGCGATCTCAGGTTCTAAGATGATCTAAGGAAGAACCTAGCCTACAGGCGATCTCAGGTTCAACGATTATCTAAGGAAAGAACCTAGACTATGGGCGATCTCAGGCTCTAAGATGATCTATGGAAAGAACCTAGCCTATGGGCGATCTCAGGTTCGAAGATGATCTAAGGAAAGAACCTAGCCAAAAGGCGATCTCAGGTTCTAAGATGATCTAAGGAAGAACCTAGCCGAAAGGCGATCTCAGGTTCTAAGATGATCTAAGGAAAAAACCTAGCCTACAGGCGATCTCAGGTTCTAAGATGATCTAAGGAAGAACCTAGCCTACGGGCGATCTCAGGTTCTAAGATGATCTGTGGGAAGAACCTAGCCAAGAGGCGATCTCAGGTTCGATGGTGATCTATGGGAAGAACCTAGCCTATGGGCGATCTCAGGTTCTAAGATGATCTGAGGAAGAACCTAGCCAAGAGGCGATCTCAGGTTCTAAGATGATCTGAGGAAGAACCTAGCCTACGGGCGATCTCAGGTTCTAAGATGATTTGAGGAAGAACCTAGCCTACGGGCAATCTCAGGTTCAATGATGATCTATGGGAAGAACCTAGCCTATGGGTGATTTCAGGTTCTAAGATGATCTGAGAGAAGAACCTAGCCAAGAGGCGATCTCAGGTTCTAAGATGACCTATGGGAAGAACCTAGACTACGAGCGATCTTAGGTTCTAAGATGATCTAAGGAAGAACCTAGCCTACGGGCGATCTCAGGTTCGACAATGATCTATGGGGAAGAACCTAGCCAAGAGGCGATCTCAGGTTCGAAGATGATCTGAGGAAGAACCTAGCCTACGAGCGATCTCAGGTTCTAAGAAGGTGGCGGTATTGGTCACGACATGATAACAAAAAGGAAGACATCGATCAGGACACGATGGTTTGAGGAGAGGTATCGATCAGGACACGATAACCAACAGGAAGACATCGATCAAGATACGACGGCTAACAGGAATACGTTGATCAGGACACGATGATTAAAATGAGGTAGCATGATTCAAACACAAGGACAGAGAAGACTTGTAACGTGGCGTGATGCCAATACAAGGAAGATATCGAACTTGTAACGTAGCGTGATGCCAATACAGGAGATCGAACTTGTAACGTAGCGTGATGCCAATACAAGGAAGGGATTTGGCTTGTAACGTAGCATGATGCCAATACAAGGAAGGGATCTGGCTTGTAACGTAGCGTGATGCCAATACAAGGAGGAGATCGAACTTGTAACGTAGCGGGATGCCAATACAAGGAAGAGATCAAACTTGTAACGTAGCAGGATGCCAATACAAGGAAGGTATAACACGGACGAGTGTTTGAATCAATACGGATGAGTACCGAAGAAAGGTCAAACCCAAACGAGTGTTTGAATCAATACAGACGAGTATTGAAAGGAGATACGGGCGAGTATCAAAAGGTTAAACACGGACGAGCGTTTGAATCCATACGGACGAGTATTGAAAGAAGATACATACGAGTATCAAAAGGTTAAACACGGGCGAGTGTTTGAATCAATACAGATGAGTATTGAAAGAAGATACGGACGAGTATCAAAAGGTTAAACACAAACGAGTGTTTGAATCAATACGGACGAGTATTGAAAGAAGATACAGACGAGTATAAAAAGGTTAAACACAGACGAGTGTTTGAGAGACTGACACAAATGAGTGTTTAGGAATTGACACAGACGAGTGTTTAGGGAACTGACACATACGAGTATTGGAAGTCTGAATTATTTATCAGACATGAGTTGGCTACCAGAAGAAAACTGGGCCTAGAATGACAAAGTGTATTTATTTTGTTGGACATCGAAAAGGTGAAGGTCATCGACTGGGGATTTTGGGCATGATATCCTCTTGTAGGGACGTATTATTGTCCTTGAATGATTCAGATATTTTGTGTAAGGTACCTGATCTGGCTTATGCTTCGTATGCATGTTTGAATTTATTTTGCCGCAAAGATCCACTCTGATGGATCGGCTACGCGCTTTTGAGGATGCAATGTTATGCAGTGATAAATATATGTAATGCAAAGAAATAAACTTCATGGAGATAAGAGAAGGCCCATTTGGAACCGCTGCTCATTACTGGGGATGTCAATACATATCGGCGCTGGAAGCCTACAGTACCGAAGGTCATTGGGGATACTGATAATAATTGCATTGGGGATCCCATGATACCGAAGATTGTTGATGACTCTGCTGAATATTGAATCACGGACGAAGCGAGTCTTCGGGTACACTGCTGGATTCTGAATCGTACCGTTGGGGAAGAGATAATCCGAATAGACTTCCACACATCCTGAACTAAAGAAGATGGTAGAACTGAACATGCCTAAGAATTGATACTGAACACCATGTGGATCTTTTTGAATACATGCCCCAAGTTTACGCATACTGGGGAATTGCCTCTTGAATCACTTGGGGATAAGAGATGGGCATGGACCTATGAATGCCCTGGTTTAGCTCTGCGAATACCCCAATTTAGCTCTACGGATGCCCCAATTTTGCTGTGTGAATGCCCCAGTTTAGCTTCACTGGGAATGTTCTTGCGCGTGCCGAGTTAAATGACGACTCCGAACTTTCTGAACTCACTAGGGGAATCAGATTTGAAGTTGTCTGCAGTAGATGAAGGTGGATTCGTGTACCGGCTAGGTCAGGGTGACCGCTATGATGCTTTTAGCTGATTGTAGCGGTCTCGTGCAACATAATTGGCTTGAGTAACTTTGTAAATACGGATGAGGAATGCCCCTGTCTGGAGGATCTCTGAGAAGATCTATGTTGAATAGAAGACCAGAATATTCATGGCATAGTACGATATGAGGTAGCCTGCCCCAATGTCTTGAGCTACGAAATAAACTGCTCTTGATTACAGCTTTCTTGGAGAGATTTGTCGAATCTCGACGTAACTGCCCCAGGTTAAATGAATTATGAATAGATTTATCGATGTGATAGCCTCTGATTGATCGAGCTTGAAGAGATTTATCGACGTGATAGCCTCTGATTGATCGAGCTTGAAGATATTTATCTATGCGATATTCTCTGATTGATAGCTTTGAGGGAATGCCCCAGACTTGGCTGAGCTCGGAGAGATTGATTCTCGACTTGATTACCCCAGATTGGAAGACTCTACTAACTTCATCCTCGAAGGGTACTTAAATTGTAAAGTTTCAAGATATGCTTTCTCTGGACAAAATCTCTGGTTAATATGTCGTTGGATAAGTCATTTCTCTTGTGACGGCTGACTCTTGCTTCAACAGGGTATTCAAGCCTCTCTTCTCTAACAAGATTGAGCTCTTTACTTGATTGTTCATTGTGTAAACTTACTTGATGTCGATCACTTGTTTTGTATGCAGAAGAATGTTTATTATGAGAATGATAATTCTAATGCAACACATATGTAAGTCTTGAAGTTTGAAATTTTTTGAATGAAATGACGTCACAACTCTGTTGTGAATGAGTCATTAGCTAGAGAGAAACATTTGC